TGTAGCAGATCTCCCTTATCTGGACAGGTGGAACTACCACATACTCAATATGTTATACAATATCTTAAGATGCCCTAAAGCTCACACCAACAACACTTCTCTTCCACCATTGTCTGACATTCCAGACAGGGTTGTTAAAGGAAGGGCAGCTCTGCTGGTGAGGAAAAGGCATTTGGCTTTGGCCATACAGTACATATTGTGCTGACATTCCTTGAGCTGATAAGTCTTTGGCTATCATGTCAAAGATCTGACCTTATTTCAGCTTCTGTCACGCAACAGCAGCTTGTCTGGCTTCTTTTTAGGACTTCTCATATGGAATGTTGGTAGAGCTGTGCATAAGAGCTCACCACAAAAATCATCATCTCTGTCTTTCACTTTAAACATAGCACCTACAAGATACTAGATAATCACTTTAATCAGCCAAGTATGTTACACACACAAGGAATTTGTCTCTGGTACAGAACCGAGGCAGCCATCTGCGGCACCAAGTCACACACACACACACACACTGATGGCGGTGCTGTTCCTGCAAGGTGCTACTTTGGCCATCGGGAGAAACTTGGAGTTCAGTGTCTTGTCCAAGGACACTTCAACATGTGGACTGGGGAGAACAGGAATTAAACTGCCGACTTTTCGGATGGGGGACAACTGCTTTTCCTCCAAGCCACAGCCGCCTGGGTTGATATAACAGTTAAACATTTTAAGAGAATTTCCAGAAATTCCCCTAGGGGATTAATAAAGTATTCTATCCACGTTGTACCTCCATCTATCTATCGAAAGCAGTTTTTGGCTTTAACACATTCCATGCTGACCCTGTTTACAACAATGCCCATTAGATCTGGCATCTGGAAGCGATCAATAGACGTGAGCGGCAGACAGTGTGTGTGTGTGTGTGTGTGTGTGTGTGTGTGTGTGTGTGTGCACTGTGTTTATGTAAAGGTTACAACAAGCCAATACAATGTTTCAGGCCTCATCGTCATAGTCATAATCCTCTTACAGATTTACTGCAGGTGAGTACTCTGCTATGACATCGATAGCTTCTCAGGAAAGCATGTGTGGATGTGTGGGAGAATGGATGTGTGCGTGTGTGTGTGGGGGGGGGATTGTTTATATACTTGTGGGGATGAAACACTGGGAGCACACTGCTTTGTGGGGACTGGAAGTCACTAATGAGGACCAGACACTGGGCCCCATGACTAATTTATTGAATTTTACAGAAATGATGGGGTGTAAGGTGTAAAGTTAGAGCAAGTGTAGGCTTTGGTTGAAGTTAGAGTAAGGGTTAAGGATAGGCAAGTAGCAGTTCTGGTTAAAGTAAGTCTTCTTACTTTAAAGGTCTTACTTTAGAGGTCTTTAGAGACCCGGTAAGTGACAAAAACAACAATGTGTGTGAGTGTGTGTGACTTAATCCAGTTTCAAGGTATGGTCAAGTGTGAGAGGTGTAATTACTCAGCAGCCTCCGGTAATCAGATTGGTAATCACATTCACACGTTAGTCCCTCAAACACAGGAAGTCAGATATGTGGCTGCGGTCTCTGTTGCATATCTATACTGAAACACTTCTTGGCAGTGTTCAGTGTGTTGTATTCTCCTGTGGTTTGTACACTATGATAATGTGGCCTGTCATTTTAAAAACATGACAGGCCACATTTGAACTGAATGCAGAAACAGGAAGATAACTCCAAAGTTATGAGTCTTACTTGGTTTTTATGACTACCATGTAAAACTGGGTCAATGAACCCACACAACCAAAACCAAAAAAACATAAAGCAATCAATCAAAATAGACTTGGCTTATGTTCCTCATCACAGTTATGCCAAACATAGAAGTTAATTCCTACCATAGGCACTGACGCTAAAGTCCTCTTAACACCTCAACTAAAAAGTAGAGTAGAATATTGAAAGGTGATTAGAACTGGACACTACAATGATATTGTTTTACTGAGCTACAGTCTGTTACACTGTTTTATGATGATGATGCAGATGTAATATTCTTTTATTGTGACACTGTGGGCAGGCACATAGCAACCCTTCCATCATCATTATTGTCAAACTTTCTATGGGACCCTGGAGATATATGTGACAAAAATAAATTCAAATATGACATTATTGTGGAATAAAGATGTGGGAATGTATGTCTTAGGTATTTTAGTCAGATAGATATTGGATAGATACTGTATGCATTAGAAATGTTTAGTGGAGATAGGATGTCTAGTTAGACTGTTAAATGCTTAGTCATCCTTATGAGTTTCTACAGGGTACATCTGGTCAAGGATAACTAGAAAGAAAAGTTGATGACTGTCAGCAGACAGGATGTTTAATATTATTATTATGACGTGTATAACTGTAGCCCTATGGTCATGAACCTTGGGTCATGACCGAAAGGGCAAGATCCCGGATACAGGCGGCCGAAATGAGCTTTCTCCGCAGGGCGGCCGGGCGCACCCTTAGAGATAGGGTGAGGAGCTCGGTCACCCGGGAGGAGCTCAGAGTAGAACCGCTGCTCCTCCACATCGAGAGGAGCCAGCTGAGGGCATTCCCCCGGAGGAGCTGGAGGAAGTGTCTGGAGAGAGGGAAGTCTGGGCATCTTTGCTTAGACTGCTGCCCCCGCAACCCGGTCCCGGATAAGCGGAGGAAAATGGATGGATGGATGGATAACTGTAGCCTTAGCCATAATATGTTCTTATGTTTAATATCACGACATGTACTAGAAGTCGTGAGAATGTTTTTAGTTACACACCACTTAACCAACAGACACACACATTCTCACATTGATTTGCTTCATGTTTTGACTACTGCTATGGCCAGCTGCAAAGCTGGCACCAGAGACGTCTCGGTTGACGTTTCTGTGTAGTATGGGGCTAGCCCAACCGAGGGGATATAATGTATAGGCCTGGTGGGTTCAGGGTCTTTCATCTTACATCTGCCTGCGAGCAGTTTGGAGGTGCAAGATACCTGAGCGTGTAATGTTAATTTTACCCGTGATCCTTCGAATAAATCAGCACTGTTTTAAAGTTACTTGGACTGTCTCGTCTTTCAGAGTTGGCAATGGTAACAAGAACCAAAGACCGACATATGAGAGACAAGAAGCTAACAGAACACCACTATCAACTCCCACAGATGTGGTCTAAACTAAATGGTGTACAGGGGAGAGCTAGGATTGTGTTTCTTGCTGTCAAGTCAGTAGTGTCTGATATCATTATATAACCACTGTTTCTTTAGATTTGTGTTAATTAAGACGTCGTTAAATCTGAGTCAGAGCTCAGTTGCTAAATGGAGCAGCTATTGATAACACTGTGAAACTGATAAATGTTGTTATGGTCAAATCAGTCTGGGTGATACTGAGGAACTGATAATAAAGCACCAACCAGTGTCAGACTTGAGTTTGTACTTTGCCTTTTTTACATAACTTCCTGATCAAGCCTCATTCTGAATGCACACACTTAAAATCAGAATACATTCATGCCCCTGGCCTGGCAGTTGACTGAGGGCTTTTTTTGGCCCCACACACAATTTTCACAATCATACAGACATAAATACACATACCTGCCTACCTACCTCCCTCTTGAGAACAGGAAATCTAAAAACACAGTGGCAGATGTTCTGGTTGTTTGGGGGGATTGGGAAGGAGGGGGTCACACATACAGTATGTCAACAAAACCACCGCTTGTCTGGGGAAGGTGGTGAGTGAATGAATGAGCCTTTCATCACAGAGGCATCATCACTGCTGAGGTTTTCTTTCAGAGACAAACATTTGCATTGCTGTCAAATGAGGAGCGGAGGTCAGTTTATAGAATGCAAATTGTCAGAATCCATGTATTTAAAGGGAAAAGTGTTGTTAAAAAATTGAGGTTTTCTTCCCATAAAACTAAATGCTGATGGTTGATGTGTAGCAAGGACCTTGGGGTATCACCATCATCAGCTAAGAGGAAGTTTGCTCTTGTTTTTCTCACACCCCTCCAAAGGTCACATCCAGTGTTTTGGCTAATTTGCAACTTACACATAATCCTTTCCCCTTCACAGTCGTCTGTGTCCCCACCACCCCATTGGTGTGTGAGACAGGGGACACAAGGCTGGTGCTTGACTGAGCCATGAAAGCTCTTTAGTTGTCACACTTTTCCCAAACGCTTTGCAGCTGCTCCTATTGTGGCTGCGGAGGGAGGGCTGCTTAGCCAATTCTTTAGAGCTCCTGCTGTTGCCCTGGCCTCAGATGGGTTCATAGAAAGAGAGTGTGGCCTGAACAATGGCCAACCCCGTGACATCATGCCTCTTATTTTGCTAACATCCATATGTAGATATATGATAGGATTCCATCACATGGAAAAATCTGGAAAGGAACTGCACATAGATATTTCTGGCATGCCAGTAGGTGATATGGTTTTCTGCTTGTGTTTTTATTCTTTAAAAGCATCAAAATAAATCTTACATACCTAAACAATAGAGCTGAAACTTTTAGTATGTTATAGATTAATAGCATGAGTATTTTTCAAGCAAAAATTGATGAAGATATCACAAACTCCATTCCAAATGTGTATATTTGCTTATTTCCCTAGATTACATGAAGTATGTTTGTTGTTTGGACTGTTGATCAGATGAAACAACTGATTTCAAGGTCAATTTTGGCTTTGGGAAATTGTCCTGGACAGTTTTTAAATTTCTAACATGTTATACACTAAATGATTAATGATGAAAATGAATAACGTGATTAGCTACAGCCTCCGATTTTTTTGGGATTGTTGGTCATATACCAACAAATATTATTTTTAAAATAATTTAAATCAGTTGTGAAGACTGTGGAATCAGTAGTATTCTGAATTAACTTTGTAGTGCAATTGTAACTGTAAATCTGTATGTAACCTGAAGAGGTCACTTTTATTACAATCTAAATAAATCTGTGTTGTCTAAAATTATGATGATGCTTGAAGTCACTGGATATTATTGGCCACCATAACAGCACATGAGATAAAAAAAAAGAGAGAGAGAGAGAGAGAGAGAGAGATCCGAGTATAAAATTCAAATGTGATTTATTCAACAGTATAAAAACATGTAAAAATAGATATAAAGAAATATATTACTTTAGTTCAATAAATATGTCAGGATGCAGTCACTGAGGACTAGATGGCCCCAGTTTTGTAGTTCTGGGACTCTGTCCGCCTCAGTGCTGCAGTACACAGTACAGAAACATGAGGTATTTAATGGTCGGTTTCCCCAGTGTGTCAGCTTCGTCAGGGTTTCATGATGTCTTGAAAGGCAGGTATTTGCATTTGAATCGACAACCACCCCCATTCAAATCTCAAACTGAACATGGAGATTTCCGTCACGTCTACACTGAAAGAAGGGGATACATTCATTGTTCGTCAAATGCAAGGGGTGACTTCTATGGGACGCTGGGCGACAGGTTTACACTGCTCTCTTTAGCACAGAAAGAAAAATGGACATCTGAGAGGATAGGCCAGCACTCCCGGGGACAGCTGCTAGCCCTCTACATTTTGTTTAGATTAAAAATGGTTGTGATTATCAAAAGCTGTTGACTTCATGAAAAAGTCCTCTGAATAAAGAATATTCAGATACTTCTAACTTCCTCTACAGGAGCTCAGCTATCTCTTCAGCTGTTTCCTAGGTCATCTAGGATTAAAAGCATGGATGACTTTCACATTTATGTTAAACATCAATACTGCCTGACGGTAGTAATCACATCTCCCCTTAAAATGATGAGGTCAGCAGATCACAGAGTCAAATAAACTGACCCCAAATAACAGTTCCCACTGTGTACAGCGATACCTGTATCACCATAAAATGGGTCCTAATCAAGACTGTGTTTGGTGCAGAGTCACTTGTGAGTAGGAGTAGTTCAAATGTGAACGGCACCTTCCTCAGCAGCTGGGAGAGGTGGTGATGGGACTGTGGAGGAATGAGAGCTGACCAGTTGAGGTGTGCACAGGGATGGAGACGGGGAAATTGAAGACCGTGCTGCTGCTGCTGATAGCTGGACTACTCGCCTCTGACGAGCAACTAGATGAGGCTAGGACCTGGGACTCGAACTGGAGCAGCTGACCCATGAAGCTGAAGTTGGGGGAGATGATGCTGCGGCGCTGCTTGACAAACTCAAAGGCCTCGTCCAGCTTCACACGGTTGGTTCGCATGAGATAGGCAAGGCAAATGGTGGCCGAGCGGGAGATGCCTGCTTGACAGTGCACAAACACACGCCCTCCTTTATTTCTCACTGAATCTGGAATGAAAGAGAAGAGAAAAGCATGGTGAGTGTACTGTAAACATCTATGACGTAATGACATGTAGAATGGGGGTTAAAACTCTGCCTGTCACAGGAAACCAGAAACACAAAAGGTCTTTGCAACACTTTCAGTTGCTATTTAAATTCAGCAGCCTTCATTAAGACACAGGAACACAGTTAATAGAGGTGCTCGTGGGGGTTATTCCCAAAGGAGGCCGTCTGAATGGACAAGGGAGGGGAACAGGCCCCTGCTGGGGGTACTGAACTGGAAGGAAGGCCGACAGTGAGTGAGGAGAAATTATCTTTTGTTCTGCCAGAACAAAGAGCAGCATGGAGGGAGCTATTCAAGCCCAGTCAGCCTACCTACTAGAAAACTAGTTTGGGGCTGCTGCCTCGTGATTCATTAAAACGGGGCATCTCTTCTTCTATGCCTATGAGGTGGTGATGATGTAACCAATACTGTGCTGGACCAGTGAGCCTGGGCTGAGCCAGCTGGTCAGTTTTGGAGGGAACTTTTTGAAATTTAAATCCAGCAGTCAAAGAGTGAAGAGAAGGAAGAGGGGGGTTGGGTGTTTGTGTTGTGTTGCTTGCCATCAACGGGCTCACAAGGCAACAGCTGTGATAAGCACCCACATTTGGCAGTTGAGGGAGTGTGAAGGGAAGAAAAATGGTGGATGTGCTCACCAATAAACTCTATCGCCTCATTGAACCAGGAGCTAATATTGGCTTTGTGGTTGTCCTCAACAGGGATGCTCTTGTAGAGGAAGGAATCTTCAAAGTGGTTGGGGCAGTTGGCTGAGACGTTGATTAGAGCAGTGATCCCCAGCATGTCTAGCATGTCTTTTCTGGATGCATGGTAAGCACTGCCAAGGTACAGGAAAGGCAAGATCTCCACAGGACCCCCCTAGAAAACATAGACAAGACCACTTTTGAGTCAGCTCTAAAAGCAGTGCACTGGAAAATAAACGTATAGTTTGTCTTTGATTATATAAAAATAAAGACACAAACCTGGTCATACAAAGGAGTATTGCATGGGCTACAGCTTGGGTCTGCACTCCCAGGATGGTTGGAGCTCAGCGGCAGACTGAGCCCCTGGGGTGGACAGGGTTTGGTACACATGTCTGGATACTCTGTTGAAAATGTGTCAAATCCGCCTGGAAAAGTGAAAAAGACAGCGAGGTAAGATCACAGGGCAACACATACACATCTACATTTAACTATCGATCTCCAAAAAGGTGCCAACTGCTCATGGGGCTATTTTGGAACACTGTTTACTCCAGCACCAGCTGGTATGGTGACAGCTGTAAGCCGCATTTGTTGCCCCGTTGTTAGGATACAGTGAAACAATTGTGTGGGGCTCTATTGCACAGTAAAACGCTTCTTTTTTTTTACCTTTAAGAACAAAAACACTGGCTCCACAGGGTTCGCGGCACAGGGCCGTAACAGCAAGCATCAACGTCCCGTCTTTCTTCGCTTGGCTCAAGTCCGAGCTGCGATCGTCAAGCAGCACCACAGATTGGTACTCCCCGGACAGGAGCCGGTTCCTGGTGTCCTCGTTGGGGACAATGTGCTCGAGTCCCAATCCCCCCCTGGCTCTCCTCCGTACTATGGTGCTGAAGCGCACATTGGTGGAGCCCGATATGTGGGACGAGTTGAAGGACAGGAAGGAGCGGCAGTCCAGCAGCAGGCAGCCCCGGCCATCGCCGTCCAACAAACCACGGAGGGACGCACAGTCGATGGTGGGGACCTCCATTATGACCATAGTAGGACGCTGAGATAGAAATATTAAATCCAAATACATAAAGCTTGTACGAGAAGTGTGGGTTGCTGTGAGAAACGGCGTTTTTCCAAAAGGCACAAAATAAACTTTGAAGCGCGAGTCCTTTGTTCCGGTTAGGCGGTTTAGAGAGAGAAAAACACGCACATAAACAACAACAAAAGTTTTAACACGAACAAATCTTGCCCTTTCCTCCTCTTGAGTGTATCCGGTGGTTGTAATTCTTTAAAAGTTTAGTAGCATCCACGACCCAGTTACTGGCTTCTAACCGTGAGCGTCTAGAAAGAGGTATATATATACAGCTCGTACTTGTGAATGAGAGGCTACTGACGTCAGGCGGCCGCCTCTCTTGGCGTCCTGCCAGGACTGTAGACGTCATCGTGTCTGCCCTGTGTACGGCTGGGTCCAAAAGAGGTCGCGCTCGTGCCCATACGGGACATTTCTGTACAGGCGTACAGCGTACAGCACGTATCAGTGTTAGACAAGTTTACACCGGCTGAGAGAAGTCTGCTGTTGTTTTTTCTTGACTGGTGATAGTGCCAGAATTAACAGTAGTTATCTGTCTACACCCACCATACCTTGTGTTTTCTGGTTTAGCAAAGTATACATTGTTAATTTACTTATGAAGTCCTCAAGGGTGGGACCTACTGTGAGCTGCTAGATGACTAAAGAAAATGTAGTCATACCCATGATGATCTCAAAACAAACTGTCTAACTGAATCCACAAACTCACTTGACACTGATGACAGTTTCATTTAAAAAAATATTGTGAGTGTGTGGACAACCATTAGAGCTGCCCAAATATTTATTTATTTATTAGTCAATTTCTACAGAGGCTCATAGTTGACAAACTCCAGTGTTGTCACTAGAAATTTTGCTGGTTGAACAATTCCATTTTAACTATATAGTTTACTATATAGGTTACTGCATGGATGGATTACAAGAAACTGGGCCCTGGGCATAGACAGGTAAAAGCCACCCACCCTTCCTTTAAGGATGCACAAAATGACAAAAATATGCAACTTTTGCAGTCATTCTGTGTCTCTTTTTTTTAATATATTTTGTGTCTTTGTTGTGGTTTTGTGTCTCTGTGGTAGTTTTATGTCTTTAGGTAGCTCTGTCTCTTTTTAGTCCTTTTGTATCTGTAGTCATTTTCATCATTGTAGTTGTTTTGTGTGATGTTGTCTTTTGTTGTCATTTTCATCATTGTAGTTGTTTCCTGTGATGTTGTCTTTTGTGGTTGTTTTGCATCAGTTTGTAGTCTTTTAAGTCATTCATACAGTCATTTCAAAAAGAGGACATGGCCCAAGCCCTCCTGACCTCTCTGACCCTGGTCATGTGCCCCATAAGTGAGAATCCATCTATCAAGTAATAACAGTTTGATTAGTCTTTTGACAAATGTCATAATTTAATTAACTCTGCAAATGAATGAGTCATTATATTTTCATTTGATTAATTGGGCTGATTTTCTATTTTCTATTAAAACAGGCTATAATCAATCCTGGTCCAATAAAGGTTTACAATTATTATTGTTACTATACATATAGTGATTAACCTAGTCTTTTCTATCTTTAAGTGACAGCATATAAGGAATTTGCCAAATTTTCCATGATGTTGTGTTTAATTAAATTTAAATTTAGCCTCTTCACATGAGAGTTGGCAAAATAACAAGATAATAAGTAAATATCTGCCATGGGCGCCATAAAAGTTTATTATTTGTTTTTATTAGTCAGAGGTACATAGTGTTCAATGCCCTGAAAGCAAAGGCTAACCATAAAAGTTAATCACTGTATAGAAATCTGAAGTCCAGTAAATTTCCACATGCTGAGAAACAAAACACTGATCTACCAGGAAGACAACAGCAGATGGAGAGCTGACCTGTCAGTTTTGTTTCATTTGTGATGAAATTGATAGATAAGGTGTTTTTCCCCAACAAATTTAAGTATATTTTAAAAATCTAATATGATTGCAACCACCCTGGGAAACCCTTTTCAGGTTGGTGTGGTTTGCTGACTCAAAGTGGGTAACACTGCTGTTTCATCAGGAACTGGGAGGATCATTATTGACAGGCAACAAGCATCAAGTGGACAAGAGGGCGTGTTAAAGTAGACAGTTGTTTTGTTGTGAAACAAATGTTTACTATGCAGGCATTTCACCATTGCCCCCTATTCAAAATCCCATTTGAGTTTCAGGTCAAAAGTGCCTCATCTCTCACTTTATGAGCAAATTGTTATTCCACTGTCATAAACATCTAAACATAATGAACCATTTGCTAACTCTAAAAAATCTTTACAATTTGAAGGTCATGCTGATTTTTAGCTGTGTCTTGCTTCAAACGGTCCAAACACTATTTGCCATGATGTCTTTCTCACTTTACTGTAACCTGAAGAGGTGAGGACTTTCAGCCCTGGTGAATCCACATCCAAAGGTTTTGGCCCTCTGGTTTACTTCAAGCAAAAGGAAAATGGATGTGTTATGTGAGAAAGGAAAGGGGGGAGGGGAAGGTTAAAGGACTGAAACTTAACCAATCACAAGAGTGCAAAAATTCTCTAGCTCACACTCCTGTGAGATGAGTCAACTCTGAGGCACACACCACAAAGCAAGAATGTTACACACCATACAGCGGAAGAAGGTCAAACGGGCTCTGAAAACAGTTTGTACCCAAACATTTTGTTCTCACTGTAAAGGCATCATTTATTGTGTCAGGAAGTGACGGCCTTATGGACTGGAGGTTAGGAAGGAAATCAGACACCTAATGAAAGGGAGGATAGATAATGCACAATAATGGTCTGGTGAAGCAATTGTGTATCTCCATGAAGCAGAAAATGTTCACTTTTGTCTCCTAAGTTAGCCCCTTTTTTCATTTATTGATACTGGTTTTCAAACTGTGCTACAAACATATTAGGCTAAAACTGTCCAAATGACCAGCAATAAAAAGCATGAAACCAAAATATGAATTGCCATATCAAAAAAATGTGTGTGCATTTCTACTGTGGACCGTTTGGCACAGAATATTGAAACTGAGGTCTGAAAATAGACCCTGGATTGTTTATAATTCCCATAATTATGCACCATAACCAAGTGTAGCTCTCATCCAGAAAGGGAAGTGAAACAGAAGATGACAAAGAGGTATTTCCTTTGGTCTGGCCTCACAGTCACTTGCTGCTATCCCTGCCTGTTTACTGTCATTGTCACTATGGGCAACAGTTGAGCCATCAGTGGGAAAATACAAGGCCTATCCTGTCTTCTAGTGTCTCAACACCAAACATTTGAGCCAGAAATGTTTGGTTTCATTTATATACGAATGGGGAGACCAAGGAAAAGATAAAGAATTAAAAAAAGACTTACATTGCCATGGGAAAAAAACCTTAATTGATAGAGTTTGCAGATTTTCTTGTATGACAAACACATTTTCTATACCACATCAAAGCATGACATTAAGCTCTGTGTTTCTGAATTGTGATAATATAGTCCAAAATAATACATAAGTTTACATTCCCTGCATTGTAGATATTGGTGACTCTTTTGCATGTAACAAGTATCCACAATAATGAATTATTTGCAGGCTTGTTTATGTCAACCAAACAGCATAATTGATATGTTTGAGGGTCAACAGAGCATTAGAAGTCACCTCAGGAACACACTCCGTACACAGTCGAAGAGAAAATAACAGTATTTATCCATTTAGTGCATGGTTTAATTGTGCATTATACTTTGGTATTATTTAATGTCGTCCCCGGCTAGTGGTTAAGGCACAGCACTCTCGCCACTGCAGCCCGGGTTCGAATCAGGGTTGCGTCAGGAAGGGCATCTGGTGTAAAACACGTGCCAAATGTCAACATGCAAGTCGTCAGTGTGACGATTTGTTGTGGCGACTCCTAAAAAACAGGAAAAGCCAAATGTGACATACATACTTTGACATTATTTAATGATATGTATAGTATGTTACTACTTTGTGTATATTTATTTTACAAGATCTGTTGTTTTTTTTTTAACATCTGGCCAGGAACAACAAAGAATTTAGTGATAGCTGCCACATTTTGGTTCTTCTTGACAAATAAATACATGTAAAAGTTTTTGATTACAAGGGTAGCCTATACTGTATAAGCAGCCATATACATCCTGTAACATAAGTGTCCAAGGACTGCAGATAAGTGTTTCTGGTACAAGTCAAATCTTCTATTGTATGGTATTGCTACTACTTTATTTTAAGACCCCATATCCAAATGTCAACATGCAAGTCGAATTATGATCCTTAACAGAACACAAGGGTTAATGGTTTAAAACACATGTGAATGTAATTTTTTTAAGCAGATGTGAGTATTTTTTAATGTATCCTATCTCCTCCTGTGGGCACTCATAAGTGGAGTATAAAAGGACAATAAATGGCAATATAGTAAAAACAGTGATAATATAAAATATGTCTTCATGTGAGGAGTATACTGTACAGCGCCAAAACCTGTCTGCTTATAACTAGCTACATTAGTAGGTTATGAACAATCTATTTATTTAATGTTTATGTAACAAAATATTTATATTTGTGGCAATATTTTTAAAAAAGAATTAGCTAAGTATTTTTGTAATTTAAATTGCAAGGTGTAATTTATACAAATTTAAATTATATATTCTATTATTATTTTCTTCATATTAGACACTTTTCATTGATATATCACTCTATAAATTTATCGTTCTACTATCGCTTCACATAACTCCATAAAACTGATTCACAGCTCTGGGAGGAAGAAGAATAATCAGGAACCGGAAGTATCTCTCAGCCAATCAGCTTTTGCAAAGCGTTCTAAGCTGACGTCAGCCCGGTACCGATGAACGACCGGTAGCGATAGAGAGAGCTGCACGTTTGCTGTTGTTGGTAGCTTTATTCGCTAATCCCCTTGTCAAACGTGCAAACACCATGCCTTTCGATGTTAGGAGGTGAGTACGGAGTTTCCGGTCATTTGGGTTGAGATGTGGAGGTACGGTGGTGGTGTTTTGCGGTCTGTGAGCTCTGGATAAATTAACGGTTTACCTACTAATGTGCAGTGTTTCGTATTGGACATGAATGAGCTACATTGACGCAGCGTCAGTATTATAGTTAGTCAGGCGTAGAGTTTTTGTGGTATCAGTGGAGTGATGCTCAGGTATGCTCACGGAGTTTGTTCTCCGGGTTTCTCCTGCGCATGTGCAGCTTTTCTCGTCCATCCTCATATTTGCAACACGTGAAAATCACCGATCACACCTCTCACCACAGATGTGTCATAGTTGCTTGCCAGACAACACGTGATGACCTGGTTTAGTCTTCTAAACTTTCCCAATATACAAAAAGCCTTCGCATTCAGATTTGTGGCCACCAATAAGCAGTTAAAACAGTCACTACACAGGCACTGCAGATACATGCAGCTAATTTGATACTTGAGCAGCAGCCACAGAGCAAACAGTCACATATACTGTGGGGCTGTTGAAACTGTCAGCAGAGCACACCCTAGTCAACAGTGCTACAAGAAGTACTCAGATCCCGTATTTAAGTAAAAGTAGCAATACCACAGTGTTAAAAGTCCTGCATTCAGAATATTACTTCAGTAAAAGTACAAAACATTTATCATAAAATATACTTAAAGTACCAAATGTAAAAGCATTCATTATGCAGAATGACACAGTTCACATTAATGTATGTCATATTATTGGACTATATTTATTAACGTATTGTTGTGTCTCATTTAATGTTGCAGCCTGCAAAAGTAGCTCTAATGTTAACTACCTTATACTTTGAAGTATTTTACATACTGCTCATACTGCTGTGTAGCATGTGAATTTCCCACCAGAGATCCATATAGTTTGATGATTGTGCTCTATTTTATTTGATTAATCTCAGTTGGAGTAAAGTAACTAGTAGCTAAAATTATCAAATAAATGTAGTGAGTAAAAAAGTGCAAAATTATTCTGTAAAATGTGTTGAGTGCTTTTAATATTTTTTTTTATTATTATTTTTTATGTAGCTATTTTATATTGCTTCTATTTTCTTCACTGCCAATTGTTGCTGTTCATTGCCATCAGTGTATTTTTAATCAAATTTCAAAGAGTTGCAGTTTTTTTTTTCCTGTCAGTTGCCTAATTGATCAGTTGACCAGTCCTTTCAGCTCTATACAAAATGTCTCAATCAAATTTAGGGGAAGACAAGAAGTTAAACCAGGAGAAAATGTATAAATAAACATTTTTAACTATGGGACAGGACAGGATTTTTGTCCTTAGTAATAAATGGTGGTTGTTCATTTGAACTAGGCTACAAGCTGGTCAAATTGCTTGTTTTATTTTATTTGGGGTCACGCCACTGATTAGTTCATTAATTGATTACTTAACTGACAACAAAGGTTAACCTTTAAGTCAGAAATCAAACATTTGCTTACTCCTGGTTCTTCCATGTGAAGATTTGCTGCTTGTCTCGGTTTTATGTAACTGTAAAGTTAATATCTTAGGGGGTAGATGTAACCATGTTGTGAGTGAGTTGCAGCTCTAGCTCACCCACAAGTTGTTCAGCATTTTATCTCATTGTTTTTAGAAACCACGTTTGTGATGCAATTGGGCAATGCATTTACCAGCGCACAGGATCTGGTGTAACTCTCGTTTGCACTGCTACAGTAGATAGTGTCTTGATAGTTGCATGAAAGTAGGTGTGTCATGGGGTTATCAAGGTTACATATCCTGTTTAGGTGTTTCAGTGACTTTGTGACCTGGTCATTCACAACTCGCATTGCAACAGCTTAAGTCACCAGTTTTTCCCTGTTGTGTAACTACATATGTTACAGTACCGGTAGTTAGATTACTCCATATGCTAGGGCAGCAGCATATTACCTATGATATTAACCCCAAGTTTAACAGACCTTATGATCATGTCATGTATTGACACAAGTAGGTTTGGTCTGGGCTAACCTGATGATGTAGTGTGTTTGCTGCTGTGATGCTTGGATCCTGGTGACTTTGTTAGTGTTCTAATTGTTATTGTCAACAGTGATGGGTGACCTTGCTGTTTGATACTTGATGTAGGCTACACTTCTAGCACATGACTGAATAAAAACCTATATAAAGAAAAACTAAGGCATACAAGTTGCTTGTTATATTAGTGGATCGTAGGTGAGAAGAACCTAAACTGCCTTTTAATGTTGGTTTATTCAGGAATAGATGAAATGGACAAACAGTTGACTCACTCTGAATCACTATATTATACACCACATTTGCAAGACATGGTTTATTTAGCAGTGGGAAGTGACAAAAGGAGATGTGTTGCCTGTAATTCAGGAAATTACTAACGTCAATTATAGAACGAGAGGTGAATTCTCAAGAGCCAACATGAATATTCATGAATGAACAGAATGTTCTCTTCTGACTGATGAAACTCCGTGAGACTGAGTTCCCATCCAACCTAGAAATAAGTGTATCAGAGGTGTTTTGCATGTATTGAAGTGATGACATCAGTACAGTAGTTTATCACTTATAAGTAGTGACGCTAATGTAATGCAAAGAAAGTTACAGTTAGGCTTTGCATTACAATGTTTTAAAGGAGTGCACTTTATTGAATTATCTCGTCCAGAAACAAATGTTTTTATTGCCATATAAACGGGATATATTTTACATGGTGTCTTACCATATAGTGCAGTACATTTATACACATTCAATTAAAGAAAAGTGATGGATTGGCGACCTGTCCAGGGTGTACCCTGCCTTCGCCCGATTGCCGGCTGGGATTGGCTCCAGCCCCCCCGTGACCCCCGTTCAGGGACTAAGCGGTAGAAAATGGAAAAAAAAAAATGAAAATGAATGTATTCAGGTCAGCCTGCCTGTGTCAGCTTTAATGTCCCTTCAAGAGCAAAGCATATTTTTTGCCTAGAAATTTTACGTGACCCACATTTAAATGTTTGTCATGTGACCGATTTAACAGACGTCAACATTATCACACTTCAATTTGTGTCACAAATATGATAAATCAATAATCGCTTAATTGTGTAATAGATCAGTGGATTTATGTGTGTATTCACAGTTTTTTTTTGTTTCTCGTCATGACAGTTGAGAGGTGCATCTGTCACTTTTAGCAGTGTGTAATTGCGTAAGAGCACCTGGTCTCCAGGTTTAAACTGCACCACAACGTTGGCGCCAGTAACATGAGAAGATCATCTGCCTTATCCATCAGCTCCATCAGCATCCATTATGTTTAAACTGAATAATCAGTCTGTCTGGAACAGGGAGTGTGTGTTTGCATGTGATCTCTGGCCACACTCCGACTACCAATTAACAGGGTTACATAGATTGTGTCACAGACTGCTGGGACTGGGTGACACTTTAGCATGTAGATATTTCCATTTCAAGCCTCAGTGAGATTTTGTTTCCTCACTCACATTTGATTTCACCATTGGAAAATTATGGAAAAAAATATGTATATTATTTTTGTAACTAGCTACAATCTGTTCTCTGTTAAGACCTTAAACTTTAAAAGCAAATCAATTGTTTGAGAGGTTTGTTGCATTATAGACATTGTAGAGCTAATAGTTTGCTCTCATTTGCATCAGTGGTGTCATATACTTTCGTGTAGCTTGAGCTTTTAAGAATAAGTTGGCAAAAATTATTATAATGAAAGTGATGATTGCTTTTAAATACAAGTCTATAGATCAGATATAGTTGATTTATGTGCCATTAAATCAAAACTTTCACATGTTTAAATTGTAATTGAATTAAAAAAATCAATATAAATCAGAGTAGAGCTTAAATATAGATTACGTGTACCAATGCATGAATATCCGTGTACTTTGAGTGTATTAAAAGTTTTCCTAAAATTATGTACTTAACTTTCCTTAAATGAGAAACAGAGGTTGTTTCAGTTTGGTAAAATAAACCACACAAACTTGTAATTCGAGTTTAATAACTGGATTTAGACAAATAATTAAATGTAACTTTTGCAAATTAAATGTACATTTTTGCAACACAATCAAGCGTATTTTCTTCCATAAGGCTAAGGTTGTGTTATATATTTGTTAAATAAACTCGGTGGCCTCTCCCCTGAGATAACGTGCACTGTGGACTAACCCTTTTTATAGTGTTTCATATAGTAGCCACTCATCATCCAAACACACCACTTTCTCAGCATCTGAGCTTCTTGTTTCTATCCTGACAACTTGGACCACAAATGTGGTTTAGAGTTCAAATGAAAGCTTAGTTTGTTTGTTTTTAACATCATGGGTTCTGTGTTGTCTCCACTGTGGATCCCACAGGAGAATGTGTAACCCTTGAACTGAAGACTGAAAGACAGAGATCAACAAAACTTTGATTTTAAGGCTTTCACATAACCCATTGCTTGGCGTGTTCCACCTGCCTGATTGTCTCTAGAGGACAGTACAGTGGCTGGATGGAAAGGACGGAAGGAACGAGCTTAAAATTCAGGAAGTGTGTTAGTCTAGATGTTGTACAGCAGCCCCTTCCTGAACTTCCCACCCACCCTGTCTCTATGCTGTCTGCCATATATATCCTTCCAGGGGAACTATTATCACACAGTGATCTAATACTAATGGGACAAGGGTGCAGGAAGTTGGCAATGCATGTGGATCAGAGAGTGAGAAAGAGATGGAGGGCAACCAGTGGAGGTGTATAGGATCCAAGGGTGTGGCAGGTAAAAACAAAAGGAGCGAAGGCCAGAGCAGAGGCAAAACAAGAAGCAGCATGGTCAAGAGTGGACAGGAAGCCCTCCCTTCTACTTCCTGTCTCTCCCTGCATTGCATCAGCGGTGTTTTTTTTCACTGGCAGCTCTCGGTGGAAGAAGTATGAACAGATGTGAATGTTTTGGAAGGAGAGAGCGAGTGAGAGAGGAGATGAGAAGGAAGTGTGGGTGGAGTTTGCACGGTCAGCAGTGAAGTTTTGGAGTCGAAAATTTTACATTGCCCAAAAAGGACATGCGCAAGAACTCATGAACCTAAATAGTTTTGGTGTTGAGTAGCAGAATTTTTTCCCCCCTTCTCAGTTCCCTGAATAGGCAGCAAGAACAAGAGGATGGCTGATTGTGTCAGGTGGCAGTGGTCCTCCTACACTTCTGATTCACTGATTTACACACAGTCTGTCATTTTGAAAATATCCAAGCTAAAACAAAAATGTAAAGTTAAGGATTTATGTAAGACTAAATCTGCAGTCTGATTCTGTCAGGGTGAATCTTTAACTGCCAGTGTCACTGTGTGTAACTGTACATTCTCCTCAAACCAAATAATTTGGTGCTGTGAAAATAAGTATTGTGAAAGATATATGCTCTCTGTCAGTTGTTACCGCAGTTGTGTTTACATCCCTGTGTGTTGCCTTACATTGGTGTGTGTGTGTGTTTGTGTTCATGTTAGCTTTGTGCTTTTCTGTGTATATGTGTAGTGTCAAAGGCCTTTGCTGTGGTGAGGTCAAAATCACAGAGCACACATTCAAAGGAATGTAAAAAGTGTGTGTGTTTGTATACGTGTCGTGGCAGGCTGTCTGAGCTGTTGTGTGTAATGGCCACGGCCCAGAGTTAACATACCACCTCTCTTCTGTAATATCGCACAGCCTGATGGGTACAGAATGTACTCCTTTTCTCAGCACGTAGTGTTTACATTAGTTTTTTTCTCACTCCCCCTTTAAATAATTTATTTTTTAACTTTTCTTCCTTCCTCTCCTCAGATTTGATATCTACAGGAAAGTGCCAAAAGATCTCACCCAGCCCACATACACAGGAGCTTTCAGTGAGTAGTCCTTCACACTCAGCAGGCCAAATACATGGGTCTCTGTTTTTTATTTTTTTGTTTTCTTATGTTTAATCAAGTTTGAGTTGTTCACATATGTATTTAGAATCCTTCAATATTGCTGCTATAAAGAGTATTTAGCTTTAAATATGCAACAGTGTACGAAATAAAGTTTGGTACAAATTTGGTTTAATAAAGTTCTTATTTCACAAACTTAGAATATGCTCATTTTGCTTTTTTGCTGAAAGTTAGCTGAAGAGATTGATACCACTCTGATGTCTGTACGTTAGGGTGGTCCAGGGTTTTTAAAAAGGGTTAGCTGCACAGTGCTTTGTTTCCACATCAGACTTTGGTAGATTTTACAACATTTACAGGTCCCCCAAAATGTCGACCTGCACTGGGTATCTGAAATTCTCTACCTTTCAGTCTGTTTAATTCATCTTGGCGCATTAAAATGTGTAATATTATACATTTTGTATATTAATTATAACGTTTCATATAGCACAACTATACATACACTAAATTTAACCCTGTAACATCAGTGTTTAACTCAGTGTTGCTGTCAAGGACATGACTGTCATCAGCAACACGTGCAGGCGCTCTTTTGTAAGACAACTATTTTAATAGATTTAACAATTTAATAGTTGCCTTACATTGTTGCCAACTATTTTAATAGTTGCCTTACAAAGGATGAGTCTCAAAAGCAGTACCTCATGAAGGTGGATTCAAAGCATTGCAGTGATATGCCATCAGTTACAAAATCTGTCTTCCTTTGAACTGAATAGGATTCTACATTTATTTGGGCTCATTAATATGATGTTTCTTTTGTGTTGCTGCTTTAAAAGTATTGAATGGTGACTACAGCAAGTGAAGCATATTTATAATGACTGTCTGCTTACTGATTTCATGTCAAACTGCAAATCAGTGGTTTAATTGGGCATTGTTTCGAGAAGAAGCATTTTGGGGGACCCCTAAATTTATGACTAGGCGAGTAAAATTTTAGCCATGTATTCTCTTGTAATTGGTGCAAGTTTTGCGAATTTTGGATTTTGGACCACTCTGCTGTGTACATATAATATGAAACTACAGCCAGAAGACAAAAAGGGAACCAGCTGGCTCACAGTAGTATGGTAACAAAGTCCATCTGTTAACAGTGTGCCTGCAGCTCACAAACTAACACCAAAAAATGGCAGGTTTTGTTGCAGTTTTTACATTTCAGCTTTTCTACTGACAAGCAATATGCAGTGTTGTAGCTGGACTTTGATTGGACAGAGCTAAGCTAGTAGTTTCGGTTTTTGTTTTAAGCTTACACGTAGCTAATGGCTGTAATTTCAAATTAACATCACAGTTTATTTTTGTACTTATACTTTTGTGCAAATTAAACAAATAAGATAATATTTTTTTTTTTTTTTTTTTTTTTTTTTTTTTTTTTTTTTTTTTTTTTTTTTTTTTTTTTTTTTTTTTTTTTTTTTTTTTTAAACCTTTGGACAGAGCCAAGCTTTGTTTCACCATTCCCAGTCTTTATTCTGAGCTAAGCTAACCAGCTGCTAACTCTAATTTTATATTTTGTGTACAGATATGAGTAGTATCAATCTTTTTATCTTGCTTTTGGCAACAAAGTAAAATAAATGCTTCTGTTAACCCTCTTCCTAACTAAGTTTTTAGCCTTAAAAGGGAATAATAGCAATATTAATAGCATCTTTTTTTTCCCAAAGTGGACAAAAAATCAGCTTTCAACTAAATAACCCTTTTAAATGTAGGGAGCATTTATTCAGGTCAGGTACTGTCTGTAAACACTGCAGCTCTTAAATGACAATTTCCAAAGACTTTACAATCCTAACAGAACATAAGAGCTAATATTTAGCATATTTATGGAAGCTGTACCTGTCTGTACCGGTACAGACAGGTACTAGGTCTACATCCTGGCAGAGTGAGTCAGCATGTGGCACAACCTGTTTTAGCACAGGTAGTATGGCAAGAATGGTAATAGTCATGCTCTGTCATTGCCAAATTGCCTGAGAAGTCATTCGAGGAAATTTGTCAGGTCATGCGTTTACCTGCTTGTCATCAATAAGTCATTGTCTAATCGGGGATTATATTGATTGTTCATTTTAATGATAGAATACAAAAGACCTGAGGAAACATTGAATAATGAACTGTTTTAAATTGATTATAAATGCCTTCCTGGATGACAAGAGAGCAGAATAAATTTTACGCCCATGAGGAAGTGGATCTAAGGTCTTCCTGTACACAGTCAACTCCCTTCCTGTCTCCATCCACTGTCTAGGGATGAAGACATTGCATTGATTTGGATATTAGACAGCTGTTATTGCTTCACCCACAGGAGTTCAACTCACATTTTGATTTGTGTGGTTCGAGGGCAGCTAGAAACAGACTCCCTCTTTTCCCAAAGGCCAAATATTTGACCCCGTCTGCTTTTGTTGGTCTGTTCCAGGGCCTACATTCCTTTGGGTTAAATTTTTACGGTATTTACTTTGAACAATACCCCAGTTTTTTTGCCACAGTGGTTTCCTGAACCCCTTTTTCTATGCACATCAATCTGTTGTTTGACTTGTTTTCTGTCACAACACTTCTTTGTCCTGACTGTGCTGATAGGAAATTCTCATGTGCTGTGTGAGGAAAATTAGCTTTGGGCAGTACAAAAAAACTGGCAGTCATTATGGAAATGCAGTGCTAGTTACAGATATCACCATCCGATTCATTGTGTTCTTATATCCAGTGTTTTTTTTTGTGTCACAGCTCTAAGAAGAAAAGCATATTTTACAGTACAGCAACTTTCAAGTCTGCTTCTCATGTGTGAGCAGTGGGAAGATGAATTTGAGTTTAAATAAAAACCACTCATGTAATGTCTTTGTAGATCATGTAGCTTGTCTGTATTTCTGTTGTTGAGCTTCTTTGAGTTTAAATCAGTAACAGTACTCTTCAAGTAATGTGCCCTTTGAAGCCTGGGAGAAATTACTGTGCCAGTCTTTCTATGAGCCTGGTGACTTGCTGTGTGTGTCATAGCGACACTCCCTCTTGTTTGTCATGTGACTATGATCCTAGGAGACGGTTGCCACATAAACATGCCTCACCTGCTGAGTTAGAGCTTTCTGACCGAGAGACTTTTGCCAAACCGGATAGACCGCATTTACACAGAGACAGATCAACGCCTATTTATCTTAGTAAACACATGACAGTGTTTTAAATGACCCACCGGGCTGATTAGTTTGACACATGAAATGAAACAGACAGCCTGGCTGCTTCTCCTTTTAAGCTCAGATCATGATTTGGCTCACACTGAACAAAAGTACTTGTTTAAGCTTAGTAAGTTGGTTCTTGTAAAAGTAGCTTTTTCTAAAATCCTTGATTGTGAAGCTTCTATGTTGGAGCAACTGAGATGATCGTCTAAGGAAACCTATTGTAAAATGAGCTATCAGTATTGTATATAGCATGAGATCACCTCTCCCAAAACAAATATGCTGTAATGGCTGCCTGTTATGCTGGTATTTAATGTGTAATTAAAGGAGGGCCTTTTAAAAACCTGCATAATGGCCAAGCTGAACACAGTCAATAAAACAGCTATTTAGGGAACATTTTTTGGGCTGCTGTGATTTCACTAATGTCATTGGCTTAGGTCAGCCATTTTAAAAGCTTCAAGAGTGTGCCTCATTTAGTTTTCATTATCCCTTGAAATCCTGGTGTAATCTGAGGTTAATGTGGAAAAGTGGTGTATGTATATTTGAAGAACTTATTCATACTAACTTTCGTCCTTCTTTGCTCCCACAGTTTCCATTCTCTGCTGCGTCTTCATACTCTTCCTGTTCCTGTCTGAGCTGACGGGATTCATAGCCACTGAAATGTAGGTATCACACCATCAAATCTCCATTACAATCATGTACCTTGTTGTAGCAGAAACACACTAGTGGTAAGACAGCTCCTTTGTTGCTGCACAAGAACTGCCGTCTGATATGTACAAGACAGGAACTTAATCACATATGCCAGTGCCCTCATTGTGATGTATTCTGCTCAGCCCATGTTGTAACCGATGAGTACAGTCAATTCTTTCACAGGAAATTGGCTTTGTGCATGCGTCAGCCTCATGGTGATGTGTAATAAGGGACGACTTGGGGACAGAAAGGAAATTACATTGACAGAGATACACAGATTTTATTTTCTTGCAGTGTGGCAGCAGAGGAGTCCAGCTGTGTGTAAAGGACGTTGTCGGAGAAAGAAAAATCGTCTTTTTCTTATAATAATTGATTTTTTTTCTTTCTTCCTATTAAAAGTTTGGTATCAGTTTGTCTGAGCATGTTTCTCCTTTCTGTCTGTGACAGAGTAAATGAACTGTATGTGGATGATCCTGATAAAGACAGTGGTGGGAAGATAGATGTGAGTTTAAACATCAGTTTGCCAAACTTGCACTGTGATTGTGAGTATATACATACATATATATATACACACACACACACACACACACACCTCTCATTTTCTCTGCATTACACTTCCTCTTTGTATGCTTTCTTTTTCACTTTGTTTATGACCTCCTTTTTACTGTTTGTTTTCCCCCATATCAGACAGTCTCATGCTTGTCATATTGACAAAAGATAAATGATGCCCACTGTGTAGTTTGTTTACTCGGCGGTGCTGTGGCATGCTTCTAGAGAACACTAGACGTTAGTCTTTGGCCTGCACCACATGTGTTTGATCTTGCACTGGTGCACAGCCATAATCTGAGCTTGACATAAAGTTGCCTTGGTTGACTCATCTGGTGTACCTCAGTGTCAGAGAAGTGGGCAGGCTGGTTGAAATGTGAAACGTGCCAGGACGGAGACCAGTCACTGGTTATTTGCTCCTCATGACTCCCCACAGAAACTATGCCCAGTGCCACAACTCACACACATACTCATCACCGCAATCGCGCGCACATGTTGGCGAGGCTTGGAGTGGCACAGAAAAGGCACACATTCTTTTGCTTCAAGCAGTATCCAAAAATGGCAAAGCCAATAAATGCTCAGCTTTCTCTGAGAGAGGCTTCGGCACACAGACGCACAGCTGGCGGCCATGTGTGCAGTCGAGCTTGCCCGTGGCATGCCGAAACAAAAGGCCATCCCCCTCCCATTTCCAATTAAAGCCCAGGATGATTTTATGTATGGTAGTTTTTGTTTATTCACAGAATTTAAAGGTTTTTTTTCTTCCTTCAGAAATGTGAGGCCTCTTAAATACCTGTTCAAACACGTTGGTCTAACCACAGTGCAGCTGCATGTAATGATGAGAAATGTTCCTCAGCCCTTCTCCCTGCGAGTTAATATTGTACATCAGTTTACTTTCCAGGCTTCCAAACAGGTTGCCATCCATTACAAATGTCCACAGAGGGAGAAAGCGTTTTCATCATCTTTTTTTTTTTTTTAAATGCCATCTCCCTCCACTGACCTTTACATGTTGCCAGGCCTTGATTTGTGACTTCATGAAAAAGCAGAACTGCTTTCAAGACCCTTGTCATCATTTTTCCCCTCTACCCACTTTATATGACACACTACAGTTATAAATGTCTTATAAAGGAGAAGTAACCAGCTCACAAAGATCACTTGTATTTGTGCACTGTATTTTGAAATCTGGATAGTCTGTCGGCGGGTCACTTTTCTCTTGAATGTCAAAGGTCAGGCATACAGCATGTGGATGTTTTAGTGCAGTTCCAGCAGACAGCCCTCTCTGGGCTGCTGGCCAAAACACAGCACTCTGAAAATAGGCCCCTGCCAGTGCGCCAACACACGGCGGCCTGCAGGACGGGAGGCGGTGAAGTCTAGATGGAAAAACACAGACAGGGAGAGCGGCAACAGTCAGGAGAGGTGATCCATTTTGGACTCGTGTGTTTACTTTGTGGGTCACACTCTGCAGCAATACTCAGAATTTCTCTCTTTGTTCTTCTCTTTCTCTATTCATTAAAAACTGCCTGTTGTTGAATGTTACAAAAATAGAGCTGCAGCTAATGATTATTCACATTATCATTTAATCTAGTGTTGTTGCTTTGATTAGCCAGTTAATCATTTAGAGTCCAAAGAAATCTGGCAAAATGCTGATCACAAGTTACTGATGTCTTCCAGTCTAGAACCACAACATTTTCAGTTTGCACTGGTGATTATTTTGATATTTCCTCATAATGTTGCTGTCTGAGACCTTACAGTACATTTTATTTATTTATTTTATTTTATGAGTGTGCATACAAAAGAGGAAAAACAGCAGCAAATGTTTGGTACAATAGTTCCATTAGTCAATTCACAAATGAACATGACAGTTTTGATTTTTAAAATGTGTTTCTGATTCCTTCTTCTTTTCATATTTGAGGATTAGCTACTTTCTTTTGCGATATATTATTTTAAATCGAATGTGTTAGGATTTGAATTGTTAGATAAAATTGCTTTGGGTTTTGGGAAAATGTCATGGGAGTTTTTCAGTTTTCTAAAATTTTGAGACTAATCGATTAAATTTGAAAAACAATGAAGATGTTATGGTATGTTTGATTAATAAATATTTAAGAGATCATTCAAATGTTTGATTAACTGAACAGTCAGCCAATTTTCTTAGCTCTAAAAGTAGCAAACCAACAAACTGTGATATTTGACTCTTATTCTTTCTTGTTCAGTATATATTTTAATTCCCTCCCGTGTTTCTCTGTTTTGTCAGTGCTGGGTTTGGACATCCAGGATGAGATGGGCCGCCACGAGGTCGGTCACATAGATAACTCCATGAAGGTTCCTCTCAACCAAGGTGGTGGTTGTCGATTTGAGGGAGAGTTCACCATCAACAAAGTAAGGTCATAACACAGAGTGGAGAAGAGGGTTAACCCGCAGTCACTGCTTGAATGATTTGTTTTATGTGACTGATCCCCTACAGAGACTGGAAACAAATCTGTTTCTATTTTACGACTGATCAGATAACAGCACTGATATTCAGTGGAATATCTGTTCTTGGGATTGTATGTTGTCTTTTTTATTTTGGGCTGGAGTTAAACATAGAGGCTGAGACCAGGGAAGTTGACCTGCTTGCTCCTCTAGTCTAAATTGAGTCCTGTTAAATAGTAGAGCTCTGAGATTCGGTTACATCCAATAGTTTACTGTAGTCTGGGCCATGCGAGGCCCTGTTTATCCCACCATCATTGCGTGCGTCAGTCTTTCCAGTCCATTTAAAATGATTAACCCAGCAGTTATACATTTAACAGTCTTGCTCATGGAATCACTGGAAATAAGTTAAATGTGTTTAAGTGGGAGGGTTTTTCTTCCGGAGTTGAGGACCATTTAGTTTCCAGCTGAGCATCTGCGTGTTTAGATTTGGTCATTAGTTAACTAAATGGGTTGCAGGCGATCATGGTGTTACTGACACAAACTTACCTAGCTCTGTCCATGTATTTGTGTGTGTGTGTGTGTGTGTGTGTGTGTGTGTGTGTGTGTGTATGTGTTCAGGTACCTGGAAACTTCCACCTGTCAACACATGGAGCTACAGCACAACCCCACAATCCTGACATTACCCACAGCATCCACAAGCTGGCCTTTGGGGAAAAGGTCCAGGTCAGGATAGACACAGAAACACAGAAAAGCTGAGGAGAACACCTACAATATCGAGGCTAAAACCAGATCTCCTCTCTGTGCTTTGTCACACAGGTAGATAAAGTACAAGGAGCCTTCAATGCGCTAGGAGGGACTGACAGGCTCTCATCTAATCGTATGTACCCACACTGCACATGTACTCATCATAACCACTATGTAACATTTAGGAAAGGCTGCTTACTGGTATAGGAAGATGCAATGAAATGAGGCACCTAGTGGACAGCTATGCACTGTGCATCTCAGATGGAGAGCCAGTTACGTTATGATCCATTTTTGCACAGTGAAGATGCATTTTTCATTGAAGCAGCTTTGTTTCCCATGCAGCTCTGGCCTCGCATGACTACATACTGAAGATTGTTCCAACTGTGTACGAGGACCTCTCAGGCAGGCAGAGGTTTTCCTACCAGTACACGGTAGCCAACAAGGTGATTTATCCTGACTGTAATCCCTCTTTCCTACTTTTCCCATACCACCATGTCATGTTTTTGCACTTTTCATGGAAGCAGTGATCGTGCCAACATATGGCCAGAGCATGTATTGCCGTGTTAACATGTGCACTCGCCCAAAAGCGAAAGCTCACCCCTAGTGACTGGAAACACTCCCTAGATGTCAACAAACCATAAACACACTTCCTAGAACTGTGCTGACTGAAAGATGGGTTTGGAGTAATAACAGTGCAGGTCAGCTGTGAAGCAGGGAGGATGAGGGCCTGAGCAAAATATTCCGAAATCTCATTGTAGGAACCTGAATAAATTCCAGCTGTGGTGCACATCAGTGCCAAGGGAGCTGTAACAATCTTTTTTTCATGATGAATTTATTTTTATTATCATATTAAATGTTCTTGTGACTGAGGATGTTTTTTGCAGAAACTTATACTCACACATTTTAGGCTCCTCCCGCTTACTTCATCTGAGTTTTATTTAGCCAAGAGCATCATTTTGAATGAATCATTGATGATTTTTCAGTGACTTTATACCAAACCAAGTCAGTAATGACTCATAAACACCACTGTCATCATTAAGGATGAATTTACACATTACCAACCTTCGTTGTGTTGATTAAATTGATTTCTCCTGCCAGGTGTGGCTCCAAAGCACATTAAAATTTGCAACAGACTCTCCTTTTCCATCCCACACAGGAGTATGTTGCATATAGCCACACGGGTAGGATCATCCCGGCCATCTGGTTCAGATACGACCTCAGTCCAATCACAGTCAAGTACACAGAGAGGAGACAGCCTTTCTACCGCTTCATCACAACAGTGAGTGGATTCTCCTCTGGGATAAAACCCAGGAACTTGTGGCCAAAAGCCGTACACTAAAGTCAGTGTTATTTCATTGTGATTTGGGTGTTTAACAGTAGCTCCTGGCTGGAATATCTCAACAACTATTGGATAGACTGCCATGAAATCTGGTAGATATCCATGGTGCCTGGAGAATGAACATTATCTTTCTTCTTCTTCCAACATCAAGCTGAAAAAAATTCTCATGTTTTGGTTTATGAGCCAAATGCCTGGAAAGCAAGTGATATTTTCATCAGCCTCAGCTATAATTTGTATTAACTGCTACTGTTTAGACAGAACCCCATTTCTAGGCTTTGTGCTAAGCTAAGATAGCTAGTCGCTTCATGTTGCTCTGTATTTAGCCTACAGTCATGGGAATAGTGTTTTCTCTCATCTCACTCTCAGCCATAAAGAGCGGAACCCAAACTTTCAAACTAGTCCTTTAACTTCTTGACTCCCCACTTCTGTCTTTTTCTGCCACCACTTTATCAGTCAAGTTTCATTCTGACTGATAATGCGGTCAGGATTAAACTGGCTGCTCAGCTCATGAGCTGACGCGTTTTTGTCTTTTATGTTTAGCTTTATCCTAATTTAAAGCATGGGTAAGAGATGAATGTGCTCTTAGTATGACTGTGAGTCACGGACGAAGATTGTGAGTCAGGCTGCAGCAGGGCGCTTCGCTTTGCCAGCACACACTGAGCTGTCAGTGTAATGTTTTGTTATGATGGAGTGTGGTTAAAGTCAGCTGAGATTAACACATTTATAATTGGGTCAGAAAAATCGAACGTTATATGATGAAACTGACATGAGCGACCTGTTTTGTGCAGATCTGTGCCATCGTTGGAGGGACGTTCACAGTCGCAGGAATCATCGACTCCTGTATATTCACTGCTTCCGAGGCCTGGAAGAAGATCCAGATAGGAAAAATGTCATGAGGATTGCTCCTCACATCCCCTCACGTCGTATTTATTAGTGCAAATTTGCTAGCCTGTTAGCTAAATCCAGTCTTGCTCAAACTAACTTCCTTGTGGAATTCACATCACCGTGACCCATGAAGTGACTTTGGCACTCGAGCTAACTACCAGGCTACACAGCTGCATCTCAGTTGCCGAAGCTCCTCTTAGGCTCCGTCTGCTCAGCTGATGTGACTATCACATGTGTTTTCAGTGTCTGAGGAGGAGAGGGAAGCTCTTTTGCTACTTTGGAAATAAAGGGTTCAGGGATCAACTTGTAGGGGTGTTTAAAGGCTGTAGCTGATAGTTTTAGAATGAAATAAAAACAAAAAGTAGCTGGGATTTGTGCTAAAATTGAATGTTTTAAATTTGTTCATGTGACACAGATCAGTGCACTCCACGTTTTTAGCATAGGGAGATTTTTGATTAATGGCTGAATTATTTACAGTCAAAACGGCTCAAATCAAAATGTATTACTTAATCTTCTCTAATTTCCGCTTGTTGGCCAACCAGAATATCACTTTAATCCTACAGCGTTTGTTTTACTGGAAAAGGGATTGATTATTGGAAGGAAATGTTTTCTAAACCTGTACTCTTAGACTGAACTCTGAAGCGTTTCTCCTTTTCACACTGTCCATAAAACTGCAGTGTGTACTATGTAATGTTTTTTTTCCATCATCCAGTCTCCCGTTCTATCACCAGTGTTTAGACTATGTGCCTTTAGGTTTACCGTTCCACCATACGGACTTATCTTCAGCAGTGGCTGCTACTAAAACCAGTATTTTCACCGAGTCTCTCGTGCGTGTTACCACTGCAGCATCTGTGTGGATTCAATGGGTTTTAAATACAGTGATCACTGTTTACCCTTCTGTTAAAGGTCCTGGTCTAGACTTTTTCCTTTCTATTTTAGTAATTTTCAAATATATGATGAATGTCTTTTGCTTTTTGCTCAGAGGTGAACTGATTGGATTTTTTTAAACGGTACTGACTGTTAATCCATGAAGTTTTAAATTGTATAGAAGGGTTCCTTTTTGTTTTTAAGGGGAAAACTTGTTTTGCCATCTCTGGTTATTATTTTTTCTTTATACTGTTGTTTGTTACCTTCTATAACCAAGGACAGTGATAATCACAAGCCATGAGAACTTGTTCATCCATTTCATCTTCTCTTTAATTACTCTGAAATGCTATGTGTTCCTCGAGTAAAGGTACCATAGAAATGCTGCTGTGAGCTTCCTGCCTTCAGGTTTTCTTAAGCTGTCATTCATTCTCCCGGTTTTACTAACTTTATTTTGGTTTGTACTGTCCCTTGTCAATTTAAACATAGATGCAGTTTAGATTTCAAAGGGACCACTCACCTATAAAACTAACAAGGAAGGTTTTTGTTTTCAGCCTGAGAAAGTGCATCTTTTCAGACCTTAAAATAAATCTTTCCACAGGAACTAACTGAATTTATCCAGGTACCCCAGTGTCGACAGCTATCCACTGAAACTGAAAATGGAGCCTTTGCACATCTCATTTCGAAACTAACTAATCTCTGGTGGCTGTAATTATATGTGTGTGTGTAGTGGACTTTGCACTGCTCATTTCCCTCAGCCAGCAGCCCGAGCCGACACCCCGCAGGTTGTCATTTGCGACGCAAGTGTGTCAAGCTGTCATCATGCTTACGTTCAGCTCTGATAAGAGGTGCTCAGTGTGACTCACCCTTTTATTCCCCCTACATCCCTCTGTTTACCTCCGTCACTTATTCCTTGTTCACAGTGTCGTGTATCCAAGCGTCTCCACCTCCACTTAATGACACAGATACCACAAATATCTGCTCTTTTTGTTAATTGGCCCCTTACAAAGAGCTTGTGGCTCTAATTTCACATGGACCTGTAATTTATCACAGCATGATAAATAGAAATTTGCACTTAAAATCTGTGCTTCTCTAAAATAAAGACAGTGCCAGCCCTAACTTTATTATTATAGTAATAACAGTGAAAATTACAAGAAGATAAATTTCTTTATTTCTTCCTATAGGAGTCATAATTTGTAAAAATAAAAGAAGAATACTCTATAAAAGATAAAAATGTCAATGTAAAATACTTAGGGTTTGTTTCTGAGATAATGCTGCCACCCAGTGGCTGGGTAGCAGAACTTCAGGCACATATAAGTATTATGTTAAGGCAGCACCCAGAAAGGAGAATGAAATGATTTTGTGACGAGTAAAGGTCAGCTCTGGTCAAAAGGATCTGTAATTTGATTTTCATTAATAGATGATTAGTTACATGTCAATACCGGGTTGTTACTAAATCCTACACATCTCAGCCGACTTTTTTTTTTTTTTTTTTTTTTTATGTTTTCAGCTGTCAGAGCTCAAATGTCTGGAAATCCAATAAAACCTCCACACCCCCTGCCCTTTTTTGTTTTTTTTTTTTTTTTTTTTAGTAACCCCTTCCATTTTTTCAGGCTGCATAGGATTACATGTTGGAGGAGGCCATGCAGGGGGCTTGTGGTGAGGAGAAGAAGTCACAGAATCCCTCCTCTGACAGGTGTCCGTACTCGTTGTTGTAGAATGTCTGGCCTGATAGCTGGCTGAAGAAGTTGGGACGGTGCCTGGAGCTGCCGGCGCCACAGCTTCTACCAAGGGACCCATGGGAGGTGGTAAGAGGCTCTGTGCTGCTGCTGCTGCCTATACGACTAGGGACAGAACAAACAAACAAACGTAAGTCCAATAACAACTGATTGTAAATGTTCTCAACAAGGAAATCTGTGGAAAGCCAAAGTACTTATTGCCTCTGAAGCCAAAGTTTGTTGTGCCATAGCTCCACTGTTGTTCAAAGGCCCTTTAACACATCAGTGAGCCACCCCTGCTGCTGTAAAAACCAAATCTTTTCTTGTTGAGATTAACAACCTCCTTTTCAAATAGTCCCCAGTACACACACACAGCTCCTGAGTAATATTCACCTGTAACTATAGTGCTGCACTGTTTTAGGATTTAGGATTCCCACATTCTGCTCTCTGTAGGAGTGAGCTGTTAGATAAATGTGTCTTACTCATACTATAAGCTGGTTCTCTTAAGTGATGTTAAGTGTAATTCTCCAAACTTTGGTATAAATTGGCCCTGGACTTTAAATGACTCGGGCTGATGTTTGCTTCGTTTGCAAACCTACTGCAGTTTCACTCCACATAAGGCCATGAGTTACTCCATTCTACATGTTTCCAAGGAAGAGATCATTTTCTTGTGAAACACAGGGAGCTTCTATAATTGTAGCATTTACTAACAGAACTGAAAGGCCGTACTTTACCTGACAGATACTTTGTCATTTCACAGTAAGTAATAAGTGGATCGCAGCCCAAATATAAACAGGTTGCATATCTGTTGAGGGTCAGTTTCCGTTTCAGACAGGAATATGGATAGTAGCTTTTGTACTGTGTGATTAACCTTTTTGAGACGGCTCCACTGTGCTCGTGCTCAATCCTCTCAAATTCCTCCGAGGCCAGGACCATCCCGCTGTCTGTCTGGTTATCCTGAGAAGAGACACAGTTTGACATCAGGTGAATTAATGCCTTTTATGTTGACCCCCTCTGCCCACATCTGTCTCTGGCAGCAGCTTTTGTTTTTGGTAATTATCTGAAAAGAAAATTCTTAAAGTCTGAGGCCATTCAATAAAATGACAGAAGCAGGTTCACACTTTCAACAAATAATGAGAGGTAAAGCGCTTACTTGAGGAGGTTTCTGTGGGTGTATCTCCAGGGGCAACTCTTCAAATGTCTTCACTCTGGGCTGGCATATTTTGGAGGGTCCCACAAACACACAGCCAGCAAAGGGCACGCAGTTATAATACCTGGTCGAGATGTATAGAAATGATCATTGGGTTAAGACATGATAGAGTTTTGACCACTATGCTGTAATGTATATTTAGTATCTGCCCTAATTTAATAGCTGGACTTTGATTCAACCTGCAACCTGTCATCACATTTAGATTCAAAGGTTTTTACATCCTAATTTGTGCAACTGATAGAGAAACTGCTGTACCTGCTGGGCAAAGTGTTGCTGGCCAGTCTCAGCTCCTCTTCAGATGGAGGCCGTGACGAGGCCTGGGAGAAACCATCATCCTCTGAGCTCTGTGAGTGATTCAAAGGGATGTAGTCCTTCCCATCCTGAAGGGAATCAAGATGTGAAAACTCTTTACAGTGCTAAAAAAAAAAAAGAACTTGCTAGAATAAGTGTCACAACAGTAGTTAACTTGCAGGTAGGCTGTTGTCCTGCAGTAGGTCTCCCAGGATCTGCACCAGTGCAGGGAAAGTTGGTCTCTGTTTGGGCTCACCCTGCCAGCAGGCCAGCATGATGCCATATCTACCAGCAGAGGGCAGCACCATCACAACCAGGGCAACTGACTGATTTCACTACAAATTTGATCCTATCTCCTCTTCTAAATGTACAAATAAACTCAAATTCTGATATTCATGAGCAGGTTCAATGTGTGCTTGATCATTTAAAGGGATTTCCATCTACAACTCTTATTTGGCAGCAAACAGGTTGGATAAGAGAAAGAACAAATTAGCTGTTTCAGTCACTCACATTTCAGGGGACACAGTCTCTGGCGCTCTCATCCTAACACCATCTTTTAAACGTTTGCAGAACTCTTCATCGATCTGTACCCCCGGATATGGAGACGCACCTCAGCGTGGACAAAAGGAGAATGATGCATTAATTAACATGTGACGGACAGGAAAAACAAGTTCATATGTGATGAAGCCTCTTCTGCTTCTAAAAGTTAACATTTTGATGGAAACGGATCTCTAGACACTTTTACACACAGCTAATCCACAACTCTGGAGGAGGCTGTACTGAAACAGTTCCTTTGATTTCTATGTAAATGACTGCCTCCATAAAATATTAAGTGAGGATGCTATGATTTACCTAATGAGAAGATTTCCCAGAGAAGAACTCCAAAGGACCATACATCACTTTGGCTGGTATACACTTTGTCAAAGATGCTCTCTGGAGCCATCCACTTCAAAGGCAGACGCACCTGAGAGAACATTAAAACACCAGGCAGGTGTTACAAATGTAGGTGGTTTAAAAGCAAACAAAAGTTTAATGTTTCCCTCCAGTAAATGGAGATGGATAATAAACGTGGAAGCTGTGGCGAGTAAGAGGATGCCGTACATTGCCTTTTCTGACGTAGTCGGGGTCTTTGTATATGTCTCTGGCCAGGCCAAAGTCACAGATCTTCACAATGTTGTTCTCTGACAGGAGAATGTTCCGGGCTGCCAGGTCTCTGTGGATACACTGCAGATACACATATGACCACACATCCATCATAAACTTTGCAAACAGGTGCTTGCATATGTGTGTTTGTGGGAGTGTTTGCTTGCACGGATTCCACCTTGTCTCTGATGAGTTCATTATGATTTGAAGTAAGTAAATGGCAAGTTGGCTATGTTAATAATCTGTTGACTTAAAAATGTGTGTATGTGTGTGAGAGCCTGTGTATGTCTCTGTGCCAGGTTGTGATTGTGACTGGACTATGTCTCAGCCAGGCCGACTTCTGTGGAGTTGCTGCAGGAGATCCAAAGCCAGGTAAACCTACTGACAGGGGCCACGACTGGTTTGAGTCATTTAAAGCCAGACAGTCTGCTCAGAGTCTCAGCTCATTCGTATTCATTGCAAGTTACAGCTGTTTTTGCCACATTTTAAGTTCATTATTCCTCCATTTACTGGTGGTTTCATATGTGACATGGACTGTGGCTGGAAATTAGTCTCATTTGGGAAAATGCAACAATAATTAACTGTTAAGACCACAGTTTGATGGCAGGTGAGTTAATAAGCATCAAAGCACATACAGTAAGAGAGGATGACAGTTTACACAACTCTTCACTAGAAGTATTTGCAGTACTGATGGATTATTTCACAAAAAGGCCCTCTTCAGATCCACATCAGTCAGGTCAGAGCATCTATAGTAAATAATCCCCTACTGGAATATAGCACATACAGTGGGTACAGAAAGTATTCAGACCCCCTTAAATTTTTCACTCTTTGTTATATTGCAGCCATATGCTAAAATCATTTAAGTTCATTTTTTTCCTCATTAATGTACACACAGCACCCCATATTGACAGAAAAACACAGAATGTTTGACATTTTTGCAGATTTATTAAAAAAGAAAAACTGAAATATCACATGGTCATAAGTATTCAGACCCTTTGCTCAGTATTTAGTAGAAGCACCCTTT